GGAGCGGAGTGGAGTGGAGTAAGGGGAGCATAGCGCACCGAACAGTACGGAACCGAAGGGTATTTTCTTGTACGGGCTTTAAAGTCCTTATGGGCCTAAGCTAAGGTTAATATAAATACTAATGTTGTAACCTTATTTTTCATTCTGAATAATATTATCTCCACTTCGCTCTCATGGAAGTAGGCACACTGTTGAACCACGTAAAATTTTGTGTTATTTTCTCTATTTCAACCGTTTATTATTGCGCATAAAATCCAACACTATCTAAGTGTCACAAGCCCAGCTACCACACTGCCATCAAGGACTGCAACAAGTGAATATTCACTCTGCTCAGTCCTCTATGGTAGATATCGACCATCCAAAGGGTTCACACTAACAGAGACGGCTACTGCTACTTTAGTTTGCACAATGGGTCCGTTTAATAAAGGTTAAAGCTATAATTACAGAATTTCCTAAAAATCAATTAACTGCAAGGCCTAATAAACAAAACAGCTCCCTGATGAAATTGACATTATACTCGCATCTTCAAATAAGGTTACTCAATTTGTAACATAGAGCTCAAGGCTTGAGAAAAGCCGTGCATGTGCCACAAGGAGAAATTGCAACTAGAGGGACAAGATGAACTCACTTCTCATTAAGGTTAGAATCGCCGAAGGGATTTGATTCGTTGGAATATCCAGACAAATTTTGCGACTTCAACTTCTTGGCGACTTTCATAGCCTAACAAAGTGACCAATTAGTTAAAATGCAGAAAAACACTAGATGAAATCGAGTCAAAAGGCATAAACAAATTTGGGGGAAGTACAAAGGAGAATCTCAATACCTTTTTCTGTGCCTTCTTAGCTAGGTATTCAGAGATTTCTTCCTCTGTAATCTTCCTCTTGCTCTTCTTCCTCGATCGCTCATGGGTGTCACTTTCAGAATTATGGGAGTCTAATCGTCGGCTACTGCTGCGATTTCGACTCCGGCTCCTGCGGTGGCTCCTGTCCGACTCCGAAGTTGAGTCGGATGCAGATTCCGAATCCGAATCGCCCCGGCGGCTTCTGTGTCTCCGGCTGGACTTTGACGATGTCATCTTTGTACAGGAGTGGGACGCCTGCTATTACAAGTACTCGAGTATAATCGGCACGAGCCTTCACGGCTAAGAGAGGCCTAGAAGGTCTGGCGCTGTCGGTTTAGCTCTGGGCAGAGGTGAAACCGAATGGACTGGGCCGTGAAACCAGATTAACTGGGCCATATTTTAGCTTTAGTAATTACTCATTTGTCAAAGGGAAAAATTCACAAATCATGTTTTAACTATGCACAATTCAAAAATCAGGTTTAAA